ATAACCAGAACCTGGATGATTGACAATCTCTATAGATACTCAATTAGTTTTGTTTTCTGTTGTAGGTGATGTGTTTGGCTGCTGGACGTTTTTAAAATTGTTTTCTACTTTCACTATAAATTAGGATCCTCTAAAATTTCATTACATAAATAAAAATAAATTCAATGGTTCATCACACACACAAAAAAAGAGTTTATGGTCTCGGTTTTGGATTTATTGTTTGCAATGCCTTTACTTGGGTCTCCTTTGCCCATTTTACCCAGAACTATGCTTTACACAAGACCAAACTCACTTATGGGCTGTTTTGCCATCAGATGTGATGGATTTAAAGGGAGACAAGACGTATCCATAGATTGTGTATCAGTTCATGGAAGATCAGGTTGTTACTTTTAACTTCTGACATTCATAGATGTGGCCATTGTCTGGCATAAATTAAAAATATTCCAGGACAACTGTCCTTATATTTACATATAATGTTTCAATCAGAATACAGCTGGAAGGCACCTTGGAGGTTTTCTAGTCCAACCCCCTGCTCAAGCAGAAGATCATGTTTCAGATAGGTAACTGCCCAGTCTCTTCTTAAAACCTCCAGTGACGAAGCAACTACATCTTCTGAAGGAAAGCTGTTCCACTGGTTAATTGTTCCCACCATTAGGAAGTTTCTACTTAATTCCAGGTTGCTTCCCTCCTTGATTAGTTTCCATCCATTGTTTCTTATCTTGCCTTCTGGTGCTTTGGAAAATAAGTTGACCCTCTCTTCTTTGTGGCAGCCCCTCAAATACTGGAACATTACTATCATGTCACCCCCTAGTCCTTCTTTCCTCTAGATTGGCCATAACAAACTCCTGCAAATATTCTTAATATGTTTTAGTCTTTAGGCCTTTAGTCATACTAGTTGCTCTCCTCTGCATTTTTTCCAAAGTCTCAAGATCTTTTTTGAAATGTGGTGACAAAAACTGGATGCAGTATTATAGGTGTGGTCTTACTAAGGCTTTATAAAGTAATACTAAAACTTCATGTGATTTTGAGTCTATGGCTCTGGTAATACAACCAAGGATTATATTAGCTTTATTGACTCCTGCCAGACACTGCTGGATCATGTTTAAGTGATTGTCCGCTAGGATTCCAAGGTCCCTTTCACAGTTACTATCTTTGAGCGACATTTTACCTTATCTGTATTTGTACCTTTGGCTTTCCCTGCCCAAATGTAAAACCTTGTTTTTCCCAACATTAAATTCCATTTTGTTACTACATAGGGCTTATGTTCATGTTTGTTGAGATCCGCCTGGATCTTGAGCCTGTCTTCTGGGGTATTAGCTATTCCTACTTACCAAGAAGTAGATTTTGGTCTACTTTGTCAAATGTCTTACTGAAATCTAAAGATACACTATGTCCACAGCATTGACTAATCTACTAATTTAAGCACTTTGTCAAAGAGTGAAATGATTCTTCAAAGAAGAGCCAAGTTCTACTGTAAACATCACTTTTCAGTCTATTTTCTTACCTGAAGTGTAGTTGTTGGCTTTCTTTGCTAAGAAGTCAGAAAAATAGGGACAAGGCCCACTTTTCTGAACAACTGCCATTCAGGACACATCAAGTGATAAAGATCACTCCTTGGCCAAAACTTCCTTTCCCTTTGCAAGGGAAGCTTCCAATCTAAACCTCAACAAAGAACCTAGAAATGCTGCCAACTTACACACTTGTTAGAAAACCCAAATTCTTCTGCTTCTTTACAGTTCTCCAAGACAAAGAGGCTGGCAACTATGATTTGCTGCTGGTATTGAAATTCCCAGTTCCATATCCAGCTTTCCTTGCTGCCATGCAGCAAGCAGCTACTTGCCTGCCAATCTCATTAACATAGTTGCATATTTTGGTTTAGGAGAGAAGATGATTGAGTTTATTTTGAAGCAGAATAAAAGTGGGGGCTTTTAGAAAAAGGAAAATTGGTTTGTACATAACTGAACCCACATCTCAACCTTTAGAATGGAATGTCTACTTTCTCCTCATTGTTAGCAACATGTAAATTGCTGGGTTCTATTGTGCTGTCACAATTGGACTGGCTGTTCCAGTTTCAAAGATTTTCTTGTTAGAGCTTTACAAATACTGACCTTACAAATGGTTTTGAACTAGGAGAAAACTGACTGTAGTTTTCTTTTTCTTCGTAAATTGATTTTTACCTCATCTCAAGAATGTTTGAAGTTTGGAGCTTTTCTTGGCAAAGAAGGTATAGAATTTTGCTACTAATGACTTACATAAAAACAAAACTCTGCCATTGCCATGAGTTATGATTTAACAGCAATATAATATCTCATAATTACTTCAAAGAAATGGCAAATCTGCAAATTGATTTTCAAAATAGACTGTGCTGCTAAGGATAGTCCCAAAGATGCTTTTTCAAGAGGAAACTGGACTTTCTGGTTTTTTCTTTTCTTTCACTTCTCATCCAAGAAGCTTCTTCAGAACTGAGAGCTGAAGAAGCTTCTTGGATGAGAAGCAAAACATCTTCAAAGAAAAAAACAGAAAGTCCAGTTTCCTCTTGAAAAAGCACCTTTGGGACAACCATGCCCTGTATTACTGAGAATCTCCATAGATATTTAGCCTCTTGGTAATTTGCTGTCTGATAGGGAAGAATTTTTTTCTTCCTTTTCTAGTCGCTATGTGTTACCTTCTTTTTAAAGGATGAAATGTATTTGTGGTGTGTTTTGTACTCTGTATTTTTCAGACAATCCCAAACTAACTTGAGATTAATTTCTGGAAAGTCTATAACTATGAGATAGGGAGGCATTTCAGCTAATGAAATAGGTTAGTATTGTTACCTTTCTTTCCCAAAATGGGGCACAGTTGTAGGTAGGCTGATATCTTAGCTCAGGGGTGTCAAACTCAAGGCTGAGAGCAGATCTGGCTCTTAGATCTGACCCACGGGGTCACTTTGGAAAGAGCAAATGATCAGTCCGTGGTGCCTCCACCAGAGGAAGCGGACTTCTGAGCTCCATTTTCTGCTGGGACAGCCTTCTGCAACCCTCTGCCACTGAAAAATGAGCTAAGGAGGACCGCATCCGTTTTCACTAGCAGGGGGTTGCAGGAGGCCATCCCAGCTGAAAACGGAGCTCAGGAGCCCATTTTCTCTGGCAGAGGCACCCCTGACACAAGTCACATCAACCTGGCCATGCCCACCATGGCCACACTAACCCCCCCCCCTGAAGTCAAACAGAACCCTGATGCGCCCCTCAATGAAATTGAGTTTGACACCCCTGGCTTAGCTGGTGGAAATGATGCCACTTCATTGCAAGAGGTTATAGATTTGAAATCTATAAGCTACAAGTTACTCTGAAGCTGCTCCATTGAATGATATTGTGTAAATCATTTTCTTGAGACTGTTTAGGAAGCAAGCAGTTTTTCCCTTCTGGCTTTGGGGGAAAAAAAGAGGGCTTACATGGGACCTTACTGGTAAGTCAGTCTTTTGTGCCCATCAGAAATGTAAGCTTGATGCTGCTACTAATCTGCAAGCATGTATGTGAAGTATGAACTAATTAGAAAATGTTGGGAATTGTGGTGATGATAAAATACAGATTTGCAGAGTGCAGGTGGTCCTTGACTTACGACCACAGTTAAGCCCAAAATTTCTGTTGCTAAGTGAGACATTTGTTAAGTGGGTTTTGGCCCATTTTACAACTTTTCTTGCCACTGTTGTTATGCGAATCACTGCAGCTGTTAAGTTAGTAGCATGGTTGTTAAGTGAAATCTGGCTTCCCTATTGACCTTGTTTGTCAGAAGGTTGCAAAATGTGATCACATGACCTAGGGATACTGCAACTGTCATAAATATGAGTCAGTTGCCAAACATCTGAATTTTGATCATGTGGCCATGGGGATGCTGCAGTGGTTGTGTGAAAAACGGTCATAAGTCATTTTTGTCAGGGATGTTGTAATTTTGAACGGTCATTAAATTAACTGTTGTAAGTCAAGGTCTACCTGTAGTATTCGCTAGCGCACGTTTTCAGATACCTTCAAGCGCTTATATTAATACCAACTTAATTTAGCTCAGCCTTCAAGACAGTCCAGTAAATGTTCCCAAAATAGCATATTAGTAGTTATAGAGTATGCATCCATACAAAGCAAGATTATGAGAATATAATAGACAATCAAAATTACCTATTAGAGTAAATCAGATTGAATTATTTTAATAAAATCTTCAGACATTTTTCCTGACATGTGCCTAATCAATGCACAAAACTTCAATGGCAACATATTCTTTTTTTGACCATGTTTCTTTATCTCATCTCCAGGCTATCAACAAGAGAGGCTTAAGTTATCTTTAGCTATAGCAGTATTGAAGTATTCTTATCCCTCTTATTCCAGTGCAGCCCAAGGACAGACAAGATATAAGAAACCTGTTAGGCTTTGGATAGCGTCAAGCAATTACAATGACTTGAAACAAAAGAATCAGGATAAGGATCAGAAGCCGAGACAGTAAATGTTACTATCGTTTTCTTCTGATCCAAGGATAGGTAAAGAACATTTCAGTTTAGCAATGGAGAAAGGCTCATCACTTGCATCTTATTAAATACCTATTCAATATCAAATTAGAAGTAAACGTCTTCCTCAGTTTGACTAAAAATTATCAATTATTCCAGAAATTTTTTATAACAAAGCATTATTAAGAAAATAACTCAATGACAGTTTCATTTGTGTCCTGTGATGTAGTAACTTATTTATGAATTGCTATTTAGCTGATTTGATCATCATTGTTGTCCACCTGTAAAATATGGGTTATCTAGTTAATATTTTATTAACTAGGTAACCTTTTATATAAGATTTCTATAGAGTCTTATAACTTGCATGTAAAGAAAGTGGACTTAAAGGAACAGGCATTCCTGAAAACAGAGGGCTAGCCATGATGAAAGGGTAGAGAACCAGAAAGCAATTATGTGGTTGAGATGCTAAACAAATGAACTGTGTTCTCAATTACTTTAACTAAATGTTTTTCTCCTTATTTTGCAGAATGTGCTTATTGTGGAGGTAAGTTCATATATTTGTCTATGTCAAAGAGCAGTTTTCATAGATTTCTTACTATATTTAATTAGAGAAATACCAGTAATTTTTGAATGGCTGGCTAAATGCAATAACAAAGACTGATCATTTAACAGAAGGTACATATAGAATATTTGTGAATCATCTATTTAAAATTCTAGATTTAAAAAGTTATTGGAAGAGTGGGCCTTTGCTTTTATAATAACCAAAATATCACTGAATTATTTTTAAAAATTAACAATATATTTTATGTGTCTATTGTTAATATAATTTAACTTTTAGAATATTAATGTACAGCATTTTATACTGCTTTGCTAACATTCTTTGTACATTTTACAAAGGATATCATTGGAACTGGAAAGACTATGAAAGCACTCCTTGACAGTATTAAAAAATATAAACCCAGCATGGTTAAAGTTGCAAGGTAAGTGTCCATTTGTAAAAGAATATATTCAAGCTTAATTCAGTCTAGTTTCAAGTCAAAATTTCCTTAACTTTGATTTGTTTGCTAAATTCAAAAGTAGTATCAGTTTACCAACCATTTTGCTGGCATTCACTTTGGTTAATTAATTTGTTTAGTTTTGGGTGCTAATCCAAAAGCTGAACAACCATATTAGAATTTAGGAGAAAGAAGTAGGCATAGCCTGTCTCACTCTTTGGTCTTGATATTAAAATATTAGGGTGTGTTTGTGAAAACTCTCTATTGGTACTGAAAGACCCAACACCTGGGTCATTTTGCATAATCAAAGTTAGAAGGAAAACAAAAGACCACATTGATTATATTTAGAAGGTGAAGAGATATGATACAATCCTTCTGTTTACTCAGAACTAAGTTAAATTATTTTTAATCAGTCTCAATTCTAAGTATTAAATAATTAATTTATATGGCTAAATTTCCATATAAACCCGGGGGGGGGGGTTGTTTCAGACAAGAATCAATAACATTTGGCATCTTAGTGGTGTATCAAGGACCAGAAATGGAAATGAAGGCAATAAACTGTTGCGACTAGGACAGAAACTAAATTTGATTTAATTTTACACTTGTATATAATTAAAAGCAAATAAAGTTGGTACAGCTTGCATGGCTGATCTTCAGGTAGTTATCCTTTTCCATTGCATACTTTTTAAAGAAGTTTTGGAAGCAGCATTCAAGCTTTGAACATCCCTGATAAAGACTGTAAATCCAACATCTTTCGATATTGGATATACCGTATTTTTCGGAGTATAAGACACACTTTTTTTTCCTGCAAAAAAGAGGCTGAAAATCTGGGTGCATCTTATACACTGAATACAGCATTTTCTGGCTCCTGAAACCCTGCCTCCACCAAATGGCCGTACATAGCTTGTAGGAGGCTTTCAGAGAGCTCCTGAGGGCTGGGGGGGGGGGGCAGAAACAATTTTGTGCCCCCCCCCCCGAGCACTCTATAAGCTTCCTAAGGCCCTTTTTTTGAAAGAAAAATGGGCCGTTTGGGGGAGGTTTTGCAGAGTTCAAAAACTTTTTTTTTTAATTTGCCTCTTCAAAACTTTGGTGTATCTTATACTCCGGTGCATCTTATACTCCGAAAAATACGGTATATGATGGTCTCTGATGCGGATGCCAAAAGACCAGAAAACAGGCAGGATATTGATTGAGATTTTGTTCTGATTACTTTTTCAACATCACAAGTAGCAATCAGAAATATCAAGATGCTGGATACAAAGTCCAGTGGAGTGAAGTAAGGCCGGGAGAACAATTAGTGGGCTAGAAAGTAGACACCCAGGGAACTAGCTATGTTTAAGAAGAGAAGAGAAAGCATGGTAACATTCTTCACATATTTGAAAAGGTGTTACACACAGTAAATCATTTTGTCCCAGAATGCAGGGCATAAAATAATAGCCTTAAATGACAAGAAGGCAGATTCCGATCGTCCATTAGAGAAAAATTCTCAATGCTAAAAATAGTTTGATGACAGAATAGATTATTCAGAAAACAGAAGGTTTTCTTTGGTTGTTGTCTTCATGCAGAAGCTAAATATACATTTATTTGGATATTTTAACGTGGATCTTTCACCGAACAGAGAGCTTCTTAATTCTGTGATTCTAACTTCGGCTGGAAGGGAAAACATAAGACCAAAGTTCCAACTATGCAATGGCCACTTAAAAGAAATAATTAGCATTTGAAGAGGGTCACTGCTCATTCAAAGAGACATTATTATGTCCATACTTCAGCTTGAAATCAGACAGGGTAGCCATTCATAATATGGGCCATGGTTCACTTTAGTGAATCTCGACTTGTATGGGACAAATTATTTGAAACTTTTTTAAATCATGAAAACATTTTGTTCTTCATTTAATTGCAGCTTGTTGGTGAAAAGAACAGTTCTACCAGATGGATTCAGGCCTGACTGTAAGTCCCCTTTCGTTAGTTACTTCATATTCAAGGATATTCAAGAACACTTCGGTTCTCAAACTAAGCAAGATAACTAGGCTTTAGGATATGCTTCAAAATCTTATTACGAATGGACCAATTGGGAAAGTGCCCTACACTCAACTTAAGTGTTTTCCCCCCTTTTCTGCATGTATTAGGGTCCTTGACTTGTTCATCTCTAATAAATTAGAATGATATTTTTTTAAAAAAATCAGATATATTTTCCTGTTGAGCTGCTCCTATTGACAAAAACTAAAAAGCAAGAATTATGAAAGAGGAAGATTCACTGTACTTCCTTGTTCTTGATGTAGCCATCAAAAATCTCTCCCTTGTCTTGTAGCTGCATGTGTGAATTATAGTTCCCAGTGTGTCTCAAACTACCTAACATCACAGTCTCATTCCCAAGAACGTTAAGTATTCATTCATGTTTATTACACCATTTTCAAGGATGTATTATATAAGACATTAAAACATTCTGTCGTCATTAACCCTCATAGTTCATCAGTGTGTTAATCATGTCACCCACTTATCAAGCCATAGTTTGCTTAACCATAGTTAGTTAAATTGTAATTAGCTGGCTATACACTAATGCATGGTTTATTCTCTGAATCAGAAACAAAGATCACTAAATGGTTGTTGCTAAAAGGTGATAGAAAAGTATAAAAGAAGAAATCTGATTGGATTAAATAAAGTTAAATATATTTCAGATTTTCTTTCTTTTTTTTTTTTGAGTGAAAATCAAGAGGATCACTTTGGGACAGTTTATGTGATCTAATTGGATACTTCTAGTCAATGCTTATTTAAGGGATCAGCTGTAAAGTATTCTTCTCTAAGCCTTTTTACAGCAGACATAGCTGGAATTTGTCTAATAGAGATGTTTTTCAGGTTACTGATCTGTGATTTAAAGAAAGAAAGAAAAATGATCTCAGTTTATCATTTTAACAATATATCCCTTTTTGTTTTTCTTCCTCCTATGTTAGATTATGGATTTGAAATTCCAGATTTATTTGTGGTGGGTTATGCCTTAGACTACAATGAGTACTTCAGAGACCTAAATGTAAGTTTCAGCATTCTCAATTTCCTGAAATAAGCTTTTTTTAAAAAATAAATAAATAACATAGTAATTTGCGAAGTTCTTCTTTGACAGGATGTTAACAGAATGGGAAAAGAAGAGCAGGGGACAAATTAGTATTGGTAGACTATATGGTCTGACTCCAAACGTTCAGTTTTTGAAATCTTCAAATAGATTGACAAAATCTGTTATCTGAAATCCTGGATAATTTGTGATAATTAGTCCATGCAGATATGAGAATCAGGATTCATTGAGGCCTATCAAAGCCTTGAATATAGCCTCTAGAAACTCTTAACAGAGTAAAATTTTAATGTGGCAGTAGAAGAAATTATTACATTCTTGAAGAGTAAACATTTAACTATACATAACTGGTCTGCCCCTACCTAATTTTTGTTGGTCCCTGCTGGCATCTGGGAAGCGTATGAGGCATGCTACTCAAAAGCTGAATGTAGCTATGCACCCCAATGTAGGCAGTAGTAGACTAAACAAGCCAGTGGCCCAAATGATATTTAACTGCCCGTACTTTGCATTTTCTAAGGAATTTAGTGCAGAGTTGGTTGCATAACTAGTATTTGCCGTCAGTGAATGACAATGTTAAACCTTTTGTTGTTTCAGCACTTGTGTGTTATCAATAACCACGGCAAAGCAAAATACAGAGTCTAAAGAATAACTAATCAACTTTGACTGGAACATTGGTAGTCCTCATGATCATCTCCATAAGAACAGACCAACTCATCTCATTCAGACTCGACTACATATGGCAACATCCCCTGGAATGATCACCTTGGACTTTGACACAATTGAATTCCTTTATTTCCTTCAGACTTTTTAGGGTAACCAGGATGAGTAAAAGGCAGACATAATACAGTATTCTACGTGCAAAAGAATAGAAATTACAGGTGAAAGGAAACTTGGTTTTTAATTTTTTGCATCATGCTTTGACCAAACTTATCATGCCAGATTTGTTGGAGTTAAAACTCCCATTGTTTTTAACCATCAAGCTTCCTTACCCTGTGTAACAAGTGCCTTTAAAATGTGTATTAAACACAACTGCACAATGATCAGTGGGCTCTGTGGGGCTATTATAACAATGATTACATTTTAATGGTATAGTTTGTTAGCTCTTTTTTTCAGTCAGCGTTGTAGTGCCTTTACTTAAGCTGTTTTTAACAGAGTTTTGAATGCATAATTGTTACCATCTCCTTTTTATGACTCAATCATTGTTGAGATATTTAGTCTCACCCATTATTTAAAACTCAGAGGATCAAAGACCTCAAACTAAATGATTTTCTCTTAGCTCCATAGCTCCTTGTAGAATCCCTGAGCTAAATTAGGCTGGTCAAGAATAGCTTTGAGTTCATAGAAACAAACAGACTGCATTGTGGTTTAAACATTGGGTTTTGTATATCATTGCTTTTGTTTTAGTATTATGTGTGAACCATCTCATTATAGCATGTTCAGCAAAACATAGTTTTAAACCATATTATGGATTGCAGGCGGTGAAGAAGTGCCATAATTAAGCAAACAATTATCATCTTATTCAAAGTCCAGTATTATGTACATTATATTATAACCCTCTACTATGCTTCAAAATTAATTTAGGATTTGAAATGATAGTAGTCCTTCCTCTTACCCAGAGGAATTCAGAAGATGGCAATTTGTCATCTTTTATTTGTTTCAGCAGCTTCTTGCTTTCTAAAGTTGATGGGAATTGAAATCCAGTATCTGGGGGATAGGAGACAATTGCCTACGCTTCGTCTGATCTTAGTGTCATGCTGTCTTTGTTCATTTCTTTGTCTTCTGCTGCTTACATCTCCACAAAATTTGTTCCAATGCCACTTTCTTTGTTTAGAGCTACAACTCCTGTTCAGGGATACAAGAACTAATTTGGAATCATGGGACTAATATAAGCAAGTGTATTAACACAGTAGATCATGGAAAACAGAATTTGCATACCATAAATGTTAAAATTTATTGCATTGTTACTGCTTTTGTGAAATATATCTGCAGTGGCTAATTATGTACTGAGTCTTTCCCAAATAAGCATTGTCCAGATGTATTGGGACTGGATATCCCAGAATTCATCTCAGGAATTCTAAGGACCATGCTCTGGCAATTGGCTGGGGACTCCAATGTGAGAATCCCTTCCTGAAGGGGCTGGTAGATTTAACACATTGGTCTTTTTTATCCAGTTCATTCTTAAATTTTATGTTTTAACATTTAATGCTCAATGTTTTATGCTTTTGACCTTCTAATTGTTTTATAATGCTATTATGATACTGTAAACTGCCCAAAAATCACTTGAGAGTCAGGTGGACAGCATATAATTTTAATTAATAAATAATCATGCTAACACATCTAGAGATGTAAGATTAGGGGAAGCCAATATATCAAATCCTCAGCTATCCTATAATAATCATTGAAGTCATCTTTGAATAATTCTGGCACAGATTAATTAATTTATAATCTTAATTTAGGTTATAGTTCAAAGCATCCCAATCGATTTATGGTGGAAGTATTGATCCAACGATATTTGGATTGATGGGACATGCCTATTGTTCAGTTGTGACTCTAATACAATTGTAAGCCTCTTGGTGCCTTCCGTTGAGCTATAATTCTTTTGTAAAGCAAATAGTTTACTGTATTTAAAAAACTTGGCATTAAAAGGTATTGAACTCTTACAATACAATAACTAGTTTTCCTTTCATCTCATCCTTGTGAATGGGTTTTTTTCATACAGTTCTTCTGCATTTAATGGTAGAAGTGTAACTTTCTTAACAGTAGATCTTATTTAATACTATGGAACTAAAAATCTCATTTAACTCAGTAGAGCTTGATTAAATATACTGGGAAATTGTGTTTTCTGTAATTCAAAAAAAGTTTTCCCATTTTCATTGGTTGACTCTTCTATATTTGGTAAGAATACTTAGGTTAGGGAGAGAAATATGAGAGAAATATATTTGTTTGTAAGTCTCTGGTGCCTAAAACAAATTTGTAGATTGATGCACAGAATCCCCAAATACTACCATATTCCAGTTCCTGAACTATTAATTTATATTTAAATTAAATCCAACTGGTGAACTTCACACTTCAGATTTAAAAAAAAATAGATCCTATAAATACAAGCCCATATTTTTATATTGATGATTACAATTTTTCATTTAATTTGTTTTAGCACAGAAAAGACCCCTTAGTGGGCTTCCCCTGAATTTCTCCAGGGGAAATTTGCATTTTTACCTTTGCAGGTAATAGAAGAAAATTCATGGACTATATACAAATCCTGGAGACAGTCAATGGTTAAAAAAGAAGAAGAATTATGGGATCTATTGTGGTTAGACTGGAATTTCCACTAAACTAATAAACAGTTAGGATATTTTACTATATTGCAAATTTCTTATGATTTCTCTTTTTTCTTCTAGCCTAGGTTTGCATACCAGCTTGAAGGACTCACTTCAAGTAAATAAATGCTTTTTGGCAAAAACAGTGTGAATCTTAGCTCCCAGCTAGTTCAATTTTTCCTGTATCTAAATATTAACTGGTATTTCTGCTTCCCATAAAAAGAGAACAAAGCAAATAATAATAATTATCGGACTTCAGATGTTTTTCAATTTTTCTCACACGTTTGGTATTTTCACAAAATTCCATCGCTATCTTGGGTTGGTGGGTATGCATTTTTAGGCTGAAAACAGGTGGGCTTTTTAAAAGAAGAAAGTTCTTTTGAAGTTATGGGAACTTATGGCTCCTCTGATTTAGCCTTGGAACTTCAGGCATCACAGCCTGTTCTATCTGGATTGTGGTTAAGAAGAACGCATTCAATCTCAAAAGGCATTCAAAACATATTTTCGGCACATTCAGTATCAGAAGGTATGCAAAACATATTTTCAACACATAAACAATCTCTTCGCCATAATCGTGAGTAAAAAAAAAAGTTTGTGCCTGGGAAATGAATGCCCTCGTATGCGCTAGATACCCACAAGAGTTTGAGCATGTATTTTTTCCAATGAATATGCCTAATCAATGTCAAGCTTTATAGCTTGTAAGCCACCCAGACTTACTTTGTAAGAGTGGCATAAAAATTAAATAATAAATAAATAAATATTTCAGATGTAAAAGGTTTGATTCATTTTCACAATTGTCATTTTGGTAGGTAGTTTTCTGTACTTAATAAATTGGCACACCTGAAAGTGAGGGGAAGCTCAGATAGTCCAATCCTCTGCCTACCTTAAGCCGTATGACTAAATTGAAAATATTTGCTATTGTCTACTCTTTTAAAAAGTGCATACAATTTGTATCTATTTTCTGGGAATAGAGATATTATTTCCTTGTCTATATAATCATGTAGAGATATTTGGGATGATGCACTTTCCACTAAACTTTAAAAAATTCTCAAGGCTCTCACACACACACACACACACACACACACACACACACACAACAATACTTAAGCTTTCATGCAGCTAGTGCTAATACTGGGGTTCCACGGGTACTGATACTAATGCAACTCATTTCCAGTAGGAATTTGAGCACCATAAACTCCTATATAGAGCTGCCTGTTTACTGCATTTCTTACCAAAGTCTCTCAGGCTTGCATTATATACAGATTGTTGTTTGACATGAACAAACAGGAGGGTAGATGATAGATAGTAGTATGGTAGATAAGCATGATCGATTATTACCAAGAAGGAAAAATAGGAATAAGAAATACTTCCTGTTCAATTATTTATTCTGCTGAAATAGCATCTTAGGCTAAGCAAAAATCCATAACTGTCTTAAAAATGTCCCCAAGCAAACTGCACCCTTTGAACTGTGGCTGCAGTGATGTTGGTGAAGCACTTGGTCATCTCATAATGCAATGTTGATGTTGATAAGGCATTTGGGCATCTCATAATGCCGAAGGTCCAGATTCAACCTCAGCTTCTCCCCATATAGCAAGAAAAAATTCTACTCTGAAATCTTGAACTGCCATTACTAGTCAGGGTCAACAGTGTTACACTCCAGGAACTAATGGTCTGATTTAATATGTGTATTTAAATGGTTTGGCATAATATGTGTATGTTTATTTCACTGGGCTCATACTGTAAACTGTTTCAATTACAGCTAATTCTGAGCCATAAATTCTATATTTTAACCTTTATCAATCGGGTAAAAACAAGCAATGCATATTACAATGAGATAGAAGAACTTGAAATCCTAAAAATAACTATATATAAGAATATATACTGTAGCATTGGAAGTTGATCTATTCAATAGTAACTAAACAAAGTCTGTTATGACTCACAACATTTACAAAATAGATATGTTTTTAAGAACTTTCTCAATGCAGTAGCAGGAAGGATCCATCCAAACACAACTGAGAGCTAGCTTGGTCTAGTGGTTAAGGCACCAGGCTAACAAACAGGATATTGTGGGTTCTACTCTTATGTTTCCATGAAAGCTAGCTGGCCCAATCAACTCTTTCAGCCCTATGGATCTCACAAGTTTGTTGTTGGGAGGAAAAGGAGTACTAGGTTTTTGCCACCTTAGAGGTTTTTTTGTTTTTTTTATTTGACATTTTCCAAACATTAAAATCACAATTACACTTTTATAGCTTTCTGTTATCGGTATTTCTTTTTTCTGATTTCGGGTTTTCCATTTTCCATTCTATTTTATACATATTCTTTGTTTCATACTTTCTCATTTTTACAATATATACATCTATAAACAATATTTCCATGTCTATTGCTTTCTAAATATATGCCATCTCTTTTCATTGTGTTTGCTATGTGTTCCTTATGGATTGATTTTACTTCTCTCTTCAAGCCAGTTATACCACCTGCTCCATATCTTTTATCAGTTTCCTCTCTATTTCTTAGTTCCATCGTTAGTTTGTCCATTTCTGAGCATTCTAACACCTTCTGCATTGATGGAATGAATGGTTTTTAACTTCAAACTTTGGGCATATGAGATTCTGGCAGCAGTGATTATATGAAGCATTAAATATTGGCTATCCTTACTAATATATTTTTTATTATTCCTAGAAGAAACAGCTCAGAGTTCATGTCAATTTTTTGTTCTATTATTTCTTCTAACCATTTTTGAATTTTGGTCCAGAATTCTTTGGCTTTTGGACACGTCCACCACATATGATAGAAGGTCCCCTGTGGGTGGTTATATTGCCATCTTAGATTATTTAGGTTAAAGGCAATATTTTTTTAAAAGTCTTTAAAATTCCCAGGGGAATGTAGCATAATAGCAATAATAACAGTAGACTTATATACCGCTTCATAGGGCTTTCAGCCCTCTCTAAGCGGTTTACAGAGTCAGCATATTGCCCCCAACAACAATCCGGGTCCTCATTTTACCCTCATTTTTCGGAAGGATGGAAGGCTGAGTCAACCCTGAGCCGGTGAGATTTGAACCGCTGAACTGCTGATCTAGCAGTCAGCCTGCACTGCTGCATTTAACCACTGCGCCACCTTGGCTCTTAAAAGGAGGCAGTGGTTGAGAAAACTCCCTTTCATGCTCTCTGAAAATTGCAATCCTTAAAGAAAGACGCATGGAGTAAATCCACACAAGGAGATCTGATTGAGATCAGAGAGACTACTTGAAGAAAGTGGTACTGGAAATGTACAGTTCCTAAAGGCTTTACAGGTGATAATCAGCTTCCCAGATTTCTCCTAGAAGCCAACTAGCTTGGGAAATTACACATACATGCACACTATGGACTGATAGTCTAGGTACTCCAAATTAATCAATCTGAATTAAGCTTCCATAAGGATGCATTTTGGAGATGCTCTATTTGCAATTGCTACTGTTTGTCTTCTAAACCCTGAAAAACATTAAATGCAGCTATAAAACTAGCTTGTCCAACGAGCTGGAGAGAAAAATGGTATTGAAGGGGTTTTTAGGGGTCTTGCCTGATCTGTGCCTTTAATTAAAAAATTTTGCCATCAGGATGTGCCTTTCTCTGCTTTCAGTTCAGCTTGACAGAAGAATCACTCATTGAAGAAGCTATTAATTCTCTCTTGAATGTATTCTCATAATTGGCCTTAGATGTCATTTTCTGTTTGTGCAAAGGAGAGGGAGGGAAGCTGGAAGGAAGAGTCCTCATTCCAACTTTCTTTTTTTTTAAACTGAAAAATAAAGTTGTCCCGTTATATAAGAGGACAAAATAATGATGGAACAGTAGTAATTATAATCCCTTAAAAAGCCAACAATCAACAAAAATGAAGAAAGGTTAATCAAGAACAAATAATCAATTGTCCTGTTTTAATAGGAAAAGGAAGAACCTGAAAAAGTAGGTTTTTAATTAACACTAGAAGCAATCAGTGTTACAATACTTCCTTCTAAATAAACATTATAGAAAAATTTTGATGTTTGATATTGTGTTGTCCATAAATCTTTTTTTTAAATTCTGCTTCCAGCTGCCTGAATAAAATTTCTTGGCATAGTCAAGAGTTTTTGCTAGGAAGCAATGCCCCAGTGAACCTGGGTGAGTATGTATATTTCAGTTTAATCCAGGATTAATGTGAGCATTAAAACATAACAATTTCCCATGTACTTTGAAGTAGAAAAGAGGTTCAAGATAAGGGGATTGTACTAAATAATATGTTGGTGCCTTCCTTATAATTGAACAAAAGCAAACTGCATCTTTCCAAATCATAATTATTCTGTTCGGATAGAAAACTTACCCAGCTTTCTT